ATCAATGTCCACGTCGTCTATTCAGACGAGAAAATCATCGAAACTCGATTCGAATTCCAAGCGAAGCGTTCAAAACTTTAGTTTTGAATTTCATTGGATATAGTGTGCTAGTACTGTTTCCAAAAATTTGACTTCATCGAAGCTATAAGGAATATCGGGTAGAAAATAGCAGGCATAACCGTGCAAGGAAATGCGAGTTAATAAATAAGATCTGATGCGACTATCATACTTTATTTTTGTCGACAGTTGGATTGTTTTGTCAATCACAAAATAAAATATCGCAAGTACACCTACGATACGACGAACATGCTCGCCTTGATTCGTCGGAATGATTACTTCAATCGTTAGTCATATCTCGAATTCGAGAGATTGATACACAAGATTCTCGTGCAGATTAGAATTGATTTATCAAACAATATTTGTTAGTGAGAACCATGGACGACAAATAATAATGCAATGATTTTTCGGCGTCGATCGCGACCATACGTCAAGAATGAATGACCAATTAGTTAGAAATATCGTTATGATCTAGTTCGACGGTCATATTGGCCCTCGTGTGTGACGATCAGTCGTTGAAACATTCGAAAGGCGACTTGTTCAATGTCATTATCGCTGAAAAAAGTTATATTCAATTGACTAAAGGATCTATCCATGAAACAGATTACGGATTTGAAGATATTGGTAGCATTGGTTGCTTCCAAGGTTTGTGCGATACAACGAGCTGATGCATACGATACAGTGTCCAGTCCAGTAGTCGTGTAGACGCAGCAGTCGATGAAGTAATAGGGGATACGATCGAAGTTCGGTCTGGTATTCGAAGGACAAGTTTCGTTAAAAGTCTACTGCCATTTCAAAGTAACTCTACTGGCATCCCAGTAGTCACAAAGTGGATTGATCATCCTATCAAATGTACAATAGGCATACAGATGTTTATTATTGTTACCTTTGTAATTGACGATGAACTGGCAGACTTAAATAAGTTCATTTTGGTCGTTGATTCGTCGGTTCGCTCGGCAATTCGATTGACGTACTCTGTCTTTTTATATTAAAAACCCATGGAAATATTTATAACACATGTCAGAGTTTCAGTTCAATAAAAAAATGAACATTTGATCGATCCAGATTTTTCGCACTTTTAAGAATAGTTCTAAAATATTTTAATCTTATCAAGCAGAATGCAAAGATTTGACTACAAACAAACAAAATTCATGTCTAATATTGATAAATGCTCGATTTTCAAAATTGACAGATCATAATAATGAAAACCATCATTGTTATTCATCTAAGTTTATCTGAATTCAATCGATTTATTCGTCTAGCTAACACTAACTAAAATAGAAATTTCCAATACTTTGCAGGTAGAAAAATTTAACAAAGATAATTGTTGTATATTAATGGTTGATTTGCTTATTGATACACTTTTTATAAAAACGCGCGGTTATCAAGTTTCTGTTGTCATACTTAGTTTTTATTAAGTTCTCAAATTTGGTTCGACATGAAGTACTGATTTTATTTGTCAATTTTTACTCCCTAGTTGTTTACTTATCTATGGAAAAAGATACGGAGATGGAAGAAAACGAGGATTACAACACCGGTCTATTATTGTCTCAGAAAATTCTGTACATACTAATTGGGTTTGTCATTATTGTTCTCATTACTGTCATCATGATAACCGTGGTGCTTCAATTATCATCCAAGCACAATAAGAAATCGAATACCACCATGACGAGCAATGGTGAGATGTGTTCATTTTTTTTCTGTTCTAGACAAATTGAAGCTGATTCTCTGACTAAAGCCATTCTTAATCTTCTCATATTTGAAACATTTCGAGTGCATATTGATGATGATGACTCTTTGCTGAAATCGAAAACAAGTTTTCACGAAATAGAAAGTCGGACTTAAGTTCTTAGGTATTGTTCATTTTACTTCGCTATGTCAACCTGGATCAAACAATTTTCATCGTATTTAGCCATTGACTCGTTGAAGAAAAAATAAGATAAAAATCCTTTAATCGATGCGAATATTCTGCAAACAATGTAAAGTGAACGACCGAATACTTGTAAAACTGAATATTCTATTATGTTTTTATTGAAAATTTGATCAAATTTCAATTATTCTTCTGTTTTCGGATAGAATAAGTAGAAGATGATTTTCATTTTTGTATTCAATTAGAAATCGAAAAGGTTGCTGATGGATAGTTTTGACTATGAGTGAAAGAAAATATATGGATCGATTCGTGTATTCAAATTAGCAAATTATAAAGTGTTTTTATTACCACAAAACTTACATAGTTCCTCTACATTGAATTAAAATGAAATTATAACCTTTCTAATCCTCAACTCCAGCAATAGACAAGCATAGTTTGAAAGTGAATTTTAGAGAGATGTGCAGGCATCGTAACAGACCCTTAAAATATAGGACTATATGTCTACGTAATATATGAATAAATTTCAAAACTCCATGTAAATACACGAAATTTTGGAATTTGTTCATATATTACGTAGACATACGGTCCTATATTTTAAGGGTCTGCTACGATGCCTGGAGATGTGTCGCGACTGACATTCTCGTTTTGTTTTTCTAGAGCTGGTCTTATGTATCGTTCTGATTGATATCTTTCGATTAACTGAAATGAGCCAGTGAATTAAATTTAACATGAGTTATTTTGGTACCGCAGAAACTAAATTTTCTCATAGCGTGAATAATCTGTTGACAATATTTACTATTCTTTATTCGAAGCTCTATTTTAATATTCTGCTTATGTTTGAGAGATCTACTAGCTTCTCAAAAACTATATTATAAATCAACTTGTACAGAAACAATTGTTCAAAGATTCACTCGTCTCTATGTGGATCAAACGTAATACCTTGAAAACCCTTCGTTCGAAGAGTGGTAAGAGAAGAAAGAAGAAACGTATCATATAATAAACAATGAGTAATCAACTCATTACTCGCTCTTATCTTTCATCTGTAAAAAAAATATTCGCCGTTTTTTCTTCTCCTCTTGCGTTAGTGCTCGTTCTTACACAAATATAACGATGAATTCCAACCTTGTTGGTCAGAAAACAATTTCTTGCTTAAGTCCCTAGCCACTCGGTGCTGATCAACAGCAAGATGACATCTACGAATGCTAAAAATATGATCAAACGTACATGAAGATGAATCATACTCCATCCTATACTTCTAATAGGATTTCTTAAGAGCAATTATTGGCTTATTATAATGCCACAATGAATGTCATTTCTACAAACTATCTTCAGCCACTAATGGATCATTGATAATTGTCAAACAAGTCATATGAATTAACAGTCTCTTCCTGTTCGTTCACTCTTTGCTCATGATCAACAACGATTTCTTCGAAAAGCGCAGCAGATGACTTCATCGATCACACATATAATCACGAATGAACATCAGCCACCGACATAACATTCCATCCAACTATTGGTCGTATTCCTTTAGCCATATCGTCATCGATGACTAATTCTACAAGAATATCTATGTACACAGCAAAATGTAGATATAAAAATGTGAGTGGCAGTTTGGAGACACATGTACACCTTCATTGCCATTTCTCACTATCTGTTTTCGTCCTTTTCGATTGTTTTGCTGCAGAACATACGTGATAAAATAGTAGTTGAAGAGTTTATTACACATTCATCAAAAAATTTTAATACTGGGCTAAAAAATGTTGTCTATTGTCATGGACGTATCGAAAACCATGAGTGTCGCATCTTCGTATCGTTGAAAATAGTGAGTCGTTTGCCTTCCTATAGGATAAAAATCATTGGCTTTGAACTCTCACTGAACACATGTTTACGACGAAAAAAAAACGCCTTCGATTCCGCCTCAATTCTCTCTCAATATTAAACGGCATAATTTCGTGAATGAGATCAAAGATAAATACGTGGATATCGCTGATGTGATCCGTCTTAAGAATAAAGTACAACAATTGACCCGAACTTTCAAACTCGATTTGAAGTTTGTTTAATCTCGAAACAAAGTACTTGGAGAAGATGAACTATTAGTGATGTATATGAAGTAGAAAGTAACTGATTATTATGCGCAAGTTTATGTTTTAATCTATTGTAACTGCTGCAACATTGAACACTTTTGAAAAAATTGCCCACAGACAGATGAAGCTGCTGGTAAAGTGTGCAGAGAAATGGTTGCGAATCTGAAAACTCATCAAAGGTAGGGTGTATCAAAATGTACTCCTCATTATGTGGAGGTCAGCATAATTCGAATGATACAAAATGCTAGGTGATAAAAGATTATCGTGCTATGCTCACTCGTAATCTTCTTTCAAATATTGTACTACTAAATGCTAATACGCATCTTCTACTAGCAAGCTTTTTCGTTTATAGTTCAGTTTCAGGTTGAGTGGCATACGCAATGATTACACGAATTATACATATTTTTAATTTCGCACAATATTGTTTCGAAGAAACTTGATAGTATTATGACCAAAATCGGAGATGAGTCAAAAATAATCCATGATAATTTCTATGAATTCAGCAAAGTAATGAGAAAGAGAGAGACAGAAACAAAATAAAAAAAAATCGTCGTTCTCGAAAGAAGAGTGAAATTGCTAGAAAAGAATTTCAAAGACTACTCTAGAGGTTTTTAGCAGCGGTTATTAAATATTTATTCAGCTATGATGAATCCATTGCATAAGCGAAATGGAATGTGAAGGCCGTATTGACAAAAACAAACCAGACTACTATAAGAACCAAATGTTTCAACTTCATCGAAACCCGCTTAATATCTATCTTGAGTATCGATAAGAGCGTATTTGATACAAAAGCGACTCACTTCCTGAATTGATCACGAAATATTTTTCTGCCAAAGACCAAAAATCATCTAGCGATTGTTTCAGCTGTGAACAATGGTCAGAACATACAAACTGTACCACTGAAAAATGCTACTACTAACAATAACAATAATCCAACGTCGCCAGATCTATTTTATAATCAATCACAACCATATTTTCCATTGATTTTAATGACATTCAATGTTCAATTCTATAAAACTAGTAAAACACCCAAACGAATTGCTAGTTTGATCTTTAATCATCAACCCGATGTAGTTTGTCTTCAAGAAAATATTCAATATTATGATTGGACAATGGCGAAATTTGCACCATTAAATTTAAGTTCATATTATATGCTTGCAGCTGAATGTGAGGCCGACAAACATCCTTATTCTCATTTGTCAAATACGATTTATGTTCACCAAAAACATTCGAAATATGTTCAAACATTACATTCTATTAATCTTATGATATTCAACGAAACACAACGATGTGCCGCTGTTATTCAATTGTACAATACTAAAATTTCCAATGTACATCTATGTGGTGGACGATACGATGATCAAAAGTATGAATACTTGCAAGAACACAAACATTTACAGTTAGAGCGACTTATAAAAACATACAATCCAGATATAATCATGGGTAAGATTGAACAAAAAATAGATTTATCATTTTAATTTCATTTTTCTGCAATAATAGGTGATTTTAATGGTGAAGATTCAGATGAAGCAGCCATGAAACAATTAGATCAATATTCTTTTTATAAAATGTTGAATGAAACCAATAAAGCTTTGTTTGTTCATTATTATATGAGTGGCGCACGTTATTTGCGTGATCAGACAACATATGTTCCTGCCTATAATGAATCATCTATTGGTGTAACTAGTGCATTTGGTGGCACACCTGATTGGATTTATGTAAAAAATCTAACACGTCTAACAGGGAAAATATACAATTATGATACGATCACTACAAAGTTGTCTGATCATAATGCAGTAATCGTCGAATATTTATTTTCAAACTTGCCAACAACGTAATGCAATATACTTGAACTTCTAATAAACTTGTCATCGATTAGAATGCTTGTAGATTAACTTTCAACTAAATGTACGAACTGATAGCATTGGATAAACGTCTGAGACCAATGCTCAATAAGTTAGGGTGTAGGTGTGAGTATTGATGTTGTTGGATTTCAGGTATGATGATATGAATACCCATAACCGCATCCATACCAAAGACTGCTATTAAGGATAGAATTTTTTATCTCATCAATCTTAAACCCAAATAAATTGTATTTTGTACTTAGTTTTTGATGGTGAATTCAATTGAAATACTTTCAGAGAGCTTAGAATGGATATGGATGTGAATGGATGTGCTGATTGAAAAGAGACTTGAGACCTCACATTCACATCTGCACCCTTCCTCTTATAAAGTGATACGTAGAGTATGCAGACTAGATTCTTTCAACATTGGCTAGAACTCAAAATTTTATGTTAATCCATAACATTCAATGCTCACTGCATATAACATCAAGTATATATTTGCCGATCACACACTCCTCACGAGAACTCAAAAAGTGTCAATGAACAGTCAATAGACTGACAAGCAATCAATGGATTATCTTGGAAGTTTTTTCGATGTTTCAATACCATCCTACAAAATTGTAGGTAACTCGAAAAAAAAATCCTCAAATTTCAGAAGAATTAAATGATAAATTTGATTCAAGACCATGTTCTGAATATTATTAGCTATAAAAATTCCATTATCAATTTGGGTATAAACATGACCTGAAGTAGGCATACTCTTTTTTGAACTTATAGACGGTTATCTTCTAGTCATTGAAATAGTAGGTGTTCAACGTTGAATTTCAAATATTCTGTAAGTGTCGAAAAAGCCCTCGTTTGCTCTAACAGACCATATAATTATCTTTTTTTAATCCCAATCATTGTTGATATCAAATATCCGTGAATATATATAAAATTTCATCGAAGATATTATGGACAAAGTCAATTTTTTGAAAGATATTATGAGTTTTGTCATCTATTAAAGAATTCTAAGAATATTCTAAATATGCAGTTTCCTAGAACATATTTCTCTTTATCTTGCGACATATTGTACGAAACTACTCGTAGATTATATGCAGAAAAAACAAGTGTAGTTTTTTAATAGCAATAGATGCTTGCTCAATATGTCCTTTGTGAATCATAATATCTACAACATATCAAGGTGAAATTTGATTAAGTTGTAAGTCCTCTCTCTCTCTTCAACATTCAGATTATGTTCTATACTTGAGTTTCACTGTAATAGTATCAAGACTTTCTTTTTATTCATGTTCAATTATAAAACTTCATCTGATAAGAAATCGATCCCATCATGCATTCGATGAATACATCGTTATATCTACTATTGGTCAATATGTAGAACAAATATATAGTTGCATTATTGTGCTTAGACATTTACTATCATTTCATTTCATACTTTATTCACCCAGTGATAATAGATAGCCGATCAAAGAAACTTTTTCGATGAAATGAATTGCATTGAAATATGCTTATGATGTTAAATTATCAAAAAATGATGAAAAAAAAATACTCGGTTCGTTTGTTAGAGTTACTGTCGCTGATTTACCAAGTACGTACGAGTAAATCCGGTATGAACGTCATTTGCAATACGATGTCGTCATATACGAGGCATTAATTTATTGATCTTGTCATAAACATCTGGTAATGCAAATGCAGACGTAAATAGAAATTCAAGTATGTCAATGTAGATTAGATTGAGTAGAATCCAACTATAATAGAAGTTCTTGTACGAGTTGAGGCAATGAATTTTGTATAACATTGATAATAAGAGCTATGCACGTCGGCATCCATACAATTAAATGCAGTATCATAATCGACAAGAGTTGTGTTACCATATGTATATTTTTTTGGCAGTCATCTTTGGTCGCATTTCATGTTCTTGATAGAACACTCGCATAATGAGGAATATTAGCAAAAAGATGGTGGTTATCAAATCTATTGTGCCTCTGGTCTCGCTCATGTCTAGTTAGATCATAGCCTATTCTAGCACATATTGATTATATCAGCAACTTGTTTTATGATAAACAACAAATCGTCAATTTAGTAAATTTATCCTTCTTATGGCAATTATACAAGATAACGCTTTTAATTCTGATATATTTGAAAATCAGACAAACGCAAAGTTGGTACTAATAACCTAAGGTGATGTAATTCATATCTATTCTTATTTGTCAATAATCATTGACAGAGAAAAGATGCTATAAATAATCTACTGGACAAAATTATTTTCGTTTTGACTTTCCTCTTATGAAAAAAAAGAACTCGTTTTAGGTGTATTTAACGAACATGTAATCATTATTGACATGTTTTGGAACAAGTATATTTAGTTGTCCATAGAATCAAGTAATTTATTCTTTCAGATTATCATAGATCTAGACATGAGCGGAGCCATCTTGCTCATATCTACATAGGCCATTGTTTTGTTTCGAATAGTATAAAGAAGCCATTAAGTAATAAAAAACTAAAACAGTACATAGATATAACATTTACTGTTTTATCTAATGAAAAGATATAAAAAATGATAGATCAATTCTTGTCTATCCCTTATATTTTGTTCGAAGTTTTATCAAACATAAAGAGAATTGTAACTTTAATTGAACTATTTATTAAATTGAACGATTATATCGATCTTTATAATTTTTAATAAACCAATTATAAGAACATTGCAAGATTTTGAAATTTCGTTAATAGAGCTTTCGCCATTGACGAAAGTTTTATTGGTGAACTTTTGATCACACAACATGGTATTACTTTTCCCTTCTGCTATATCGAATATCTCAATACAATAAACGTTTATTTCCACTTGTAGCATTTTTCTTTGGATATGGTTTTATGAAGGTCTTGTTGTCGAATTATTCGTATCAATGTAGAAAGTTGTAATTTATTTTTACCACAAAAAAATCTATATCGAAATAAATGCACAATTACTTGAATATTTAGATTTTCTACCATAGACCATCGAACAATTTCACATACAAAAATATTCGAAATTATTTTTCTTCTATTATTTATATTCATTTCAATGAATTTATAAAAGATTACTTTTATCATTAATTCATCTAATCGATTTAATACTATTTCGTGATAAGTCTTACTAGATAAATATCATTCTAATAATTCATTTTCTCATTTCTAAAAATAAGTCAATTGTTCTTAATCATATTTGTCTATCTGTTGGTTGAAATAAATTGATTATTAGATAAAATCTCAAAGCAAAAGGAATCAATCAGTAGTAGCCTTTTTCTTTTTTGTTTATACACATATACACATTTTCCCAACAAATTCACACATATGGCACTCCTATAAATGTGCAAGTTCGATTGCTCGCGGCATCAACAGACAGACAGACATAGCGAACAGTTTTCTTCCTTTTTCTCGTGCTTGCAAGCTACTTGATCCACTCGTTGAAGAGCATAGATATATAGATTGTTTTTCTGGTTGTATGCGTAAGTATGCTCACTCGTTCTTGTTGCCGCAAAGAAAAAGTTTGATTAGTGCGCTTGGTTGCACGCATTTCTGATAGGCGGGAATCGAGATTACAAGACGAATGAAAGAAATAAAAAGAGAAAAGTGGCACCTGGCACGTTCATTCAATCGAATATGTTTGTATCTTGTATGTATATATATATATATATATGTATGTATATATATGTATTTGTCAAAAGTGCAGAAGAAAAAAAAAAATACAATAAGAAAAAAAAAAAGAAAAAAAAGCAAGCATATAATAACAAAACAGAGTTAATCGATGCCTCCACCTCCATTCTTTATAGATGATGATGATGTAGATGTTGTTGCAATAAACATGGGATAATTTTTTTCATAATATTTAAGCATTTCAGATAAATATTGTTGAAAGACATCGACAGCAGCAGATAGAGCTGGCGCGCCGAAACCATGTGTTATAAGAGAAAAATTTGTTAGTGAATCTTGAACATGTGGATCAAGGGTACCAGGAATACTGTGTAGTTGACGATGAGCAATTAATGATGAAGATGTCGATGATGAACCAGATGTATGTCGAGAATGAGATACACCATTCGTTGAATTTGTTGATGATGCAACATTTACAGGTGATCGATCTTGTTTAAGTAAATCACTGAATTCTTTTGCCAATTGTCTATAATACAAAAAAACAAAACAAAATAAAATCATAAATAATCACAAAAAATTTCGATTTTTATAGATTTCTTGTTTTTTTTTAAAGAAAAATATTATAAAAATGAATTAGATTTGCATGACTCTAAGAGAGTATATGCAACGAAGATATAATATTAGATCTATTCGTAGAAATTTCATACAATCTACATTAAATTTCAGGAAGTTCTGCAATCTGTTGAGGAAGTTATAACGGAACCGGAACGTTTTCGAGACAAATCATAGGTTACAAAAAAAGAAAAGAAGAAAAAGAAATAATACCAATCTTCTGTATATTCTCAATTATTTCATTAAATATATCGATCATTTAAAATGATAACTTACTTAGCAGCTAAAACCATATTTCTTCGTGTACTTATTTCATTTGGATCTGAATGATGTCTTGCAACATAATCAGCAGTAACTTTAGCTGGAAAATCATTTTCACATACAGTACGAAAATCAAGCGCCAATTGATTTGCTTCTCCTAGAATGAATCAATAATAAATAGGTTTTTTATTTTTATTCTCATCAATTCATAGAAGATGATGATCGCCCCAAGGGTTTTCTTTTGACCACTATAGATATATGTATATGTGTGTGTGTGTGTGTGTTGTGGACAGCTGATGCGTGCGACACGCATATATTGAGGTCAAATGATAATGAAATTTGTCTCACATTACCAATTGAGGAAATATAATGAAGAGTTCATGATGATAATTATCATCATCATGAATCTTAATTTCTTACCTTCAACAAGAGATGTAAGTAATGTCGTTGTTGCTGCTTTACGACGACCAGCTGGTAGATTAACACCGATCTTTTCTAATTTATTTCGAAGATCTCGACCACCATTTTTCGATTTAGCCCTAATGTATAACAAAAAAAAAAAATTAACCCATAAGTCTTGTAATTCAATCAATACCATCAAGAATGAAGAGAGAAAAAAGCCTAGGGCACTTTCTTCATCGAAAAAAAAAGACTAGAGTGAGAGTGCCTAGCACTAATTGAGTTGACATCTCGACAGACTACCAAACCCATCATTTTGTTGCTGTCGATGTCTATTGAGGATTAGATTTTCAATAGATTTAATTTAGACACTGTCTCTGTCTCTTACCGTCTTAAAACACCACCAAGTAATGATGCATTAAGACATTCTGGTCCACCAAGTCGTCGTTGAACTTCACCAATAGTTACTTTATATTTTGATGTTGAACTAAGAAGTGCTAATCGGCCAGGTACTATATAAATATATATATAAAAGTACAATATTCGATATAATCAATACAAAAATATTTCTACCTGAACAAAAATAATCTGTTGGTGACAGAGAACCACTACTGCTATTACCATTACCAGAACACATAGACGAAAATGAATTTGAATCTCTAGTTGGATCTGAACGTCGGCCTTCTAATAAATTAATCAATGTATTGAATTAAAAATAAAAACAAAAACAAAAAAAGAATTATCTAAATCTTACCTCTACTGGCCGATGATCTCTGATAAGGTGATTCACCCATTTGTAAATCGTCTCCGCCGGCATTACCCGTTGAAACTGCTCCATTTAGAATCTATACAAAGATTTTTTTCCATATCAATAAACACATACATACTCGAAGTCAATCACAATCATCATCACTCATTCACTCTCTCTCTCTCTTTCTTTCTCATTCACTTTTGTGCTAGTATCAAGTGTTTAATGTACATGATGAAGCTGCCTGCCCACTATTGTCTTTGCTTGAATGAACGACATCAAGGCTCTTATCAAAAAGAGTGGAAAAAAAACTTTCTAACTTACACGAGCTGTATGATCAACAAGCGAAGTGGCCGATGTCTGATGATGTTGCGAATGACGAGAATAGAGTTCGGCTGCATGGTGATGATGATGATGAGCATCAAGAATCGAATGATGATGACGTGCAGCAACGGCTGTTGCTGCATAAGCAGATGCATATGGATCATAAGGTGATGTATTAAATGTATTACTGCTTGGACTTGCATGTTGATGATGAATTGATGTAGCAGTTCCATAAGGAGATGATGATGTTGACGAACCATTTGGTGTACCATAACTAAATGTTGGATAATGTTCAATGGCACTGGCTGCTGCATGTACATCGAATTGAGCAGCAAAAGCTGGATTAAATGGAGGTGGAAAATAGGGAAATGATGGATCAGTTATGGCACCACCACGAGAACTTATTGATGTATTAAATGGACCACCGCCAACCGATGATGACGATGATGATGTTGGTGACGAACCATATTTCGCATCCTGTAAGGAATGACATGAATCCATTGATATATCAAAAAAAGTAATGAATGACAAAATAAAATAGTAATGAGACATCGACATAGAAAAATGTCAAAGAAAAAAATCAAGCTAGTTAGGTTAATGAATTGTTTTCTTTTTTGTACTTACCAAAGAAAATAATTGACATATTCATATGCTATTCATATATATTTATGTATGTATGTTTTTACAAAACGTCAATGAACAAAAAAAAAAAAAAAAAAGAGAAATTTGCTTGCTTTTTAATCTTATTCTTCTGTTTTTTTATATGTGACTTTCTTTAACCTATTCTGCCTAAGGGCCATCCGGTGACAAGAAAACAGTAGAAAACTTACGTCGGTCTGCGCACCACTACCGCTGCCACCGCCTGAATCAATTAGATCAAATGCGGATGGCATACGATGATGTTGTTGAACTTTTTTTTCTTCTTATTCTTCTTCTTCGTTCTCAGGAGTGCTATGTTCGCTCTCCTGCGGCAGTTCGACGACCGATGATGAGATGACAACAATAAACACCCGAAGCAAAAAAATGCACGACGATGGAATTATACGTGTATATGTGTGTGTCTCTTTGTCGTGATGCACAAAAAACAGTGAAAAAAAAAGGGAGAGAAAAAAGAGAGAGAGAAAGAGTATATGAGAGAAAAAAAAATGTCGACAAACACAATTGTTGACGATCGATCTGATGACAATGATGATGATGTCCAATTTCCTTTTTTTTAAACTCTTGTTGCTAGCGGCCAAATTTTATAATAGTATGAGAAAGAGAAAGAAGTCAACCTATATTGATAGAAAAGAAAATAAATAAATATATTACATCATATATATATATAAAATACATATACGAATTCCGTTTTTTTTTTTTCTTCGTCAAGCAAAACTTGTTGTATGTGCACTGAGCCAAGTGGATTTCTTTTCTCTATATTTGTTCGTTCTCTGTTTTCGACCAATCGTGCCCTCCGGCAGCATGCAAGCTCGTACAAGCCAATCGGCAAAATTCGCTGCATCCTCGGGCATCAGCGATTGGGTGAACGATTTTTTTTTCTTCCCTTTTCTTCTTCTTCTGTCTGTCTGTCTCTTTCTCTCTCTCTCTTTCCATCTCTTTTCCATCCTTACTCGTCTGATCCAAAAAAAAAGAGCGAACAAGGAAGAAAAGTAGCTACTACTAATAAACTCATCCTATGATCGACGCTACAGCGTCTATGGGGATGTTTGCAACATGCTCGGTCGTTTTTCTCTTTTTCTCCAAACGTTCTATTGCTAGTGAGATTACAACTACTACAACCCACATCATCATCATCGATTCCGGCTATTAGTAATAGTAAAGGAAAGAAAAAGAAAAAAGAAGCAGCTCGCAACTAAATCAATATCCGGGATAGCGGTCAGCATTTGCAAACATGCTTACACACATAAGACAAAGAATATGCTACCGGAAGCGTGAAACAGAGAGATCTCTCAATGACAACAACGTCTACATTTGCACACATACATATAGAGACAAAAAAACATCCAAGAATGTCTCAAGTGTTGTTGTGCGCGATGAAGGGATCAAGTAGAAAAAAAAAAGAAAAAAAAATGAGAAGGATTGACGATAGATGTACACGGAAGCATAAACATAGTAAGAGCTATATACAACGAATTTTGAATTCATTAAGTCGTCAGATAAGCCGACAAGCGACTGAACAGGTGATGATGATGCATCAAGGCGTAGTCAATCTTAAAATCGTAAGCTTCTTTTACGACAGGTGATGTGATGAGATGCAGAAAATACTATTTTCTTGGTTTAACTAAAAAAAATTTTTTTTTTTCATTATAAAAGAATAAATAAGGAGAAATTTTTCTTTTTTTTTCCATCTCTATACCTTAAGAATCTTTATCACACAAGATGAAAAAAAACAATTTATGATAATGATTCTTTAATTGTAAGAGAAATATGAAGAATTTCTTGATTGTTAAAACATCTAATATTGTTATTCAATCATTTCCTGAACAAGATCAAATATACAGATTTTGAATATAATTCCACTTGAATATATATTGATGCAAATATATCTCAGATTCTATATCAATTTGAAATAATCCTAATTATCTATTTGAGTAGATGTCTAGAAATATGATCTAACTGATCCTGTCATATAATTCTTATTGATTTCAAAATTATATTTTAACAAAAATCTTATTATTAAAATATTTTCTATATACATCATAGTTTTATTTTTTGAAAATATTATAAACACATTTTATTAATATGTGAAAACAAATTACTTCATCATATATTTATCATAATTACATCCACACATATTTTTTACCTAATCTTTTTGAAAAATATAAAAGACTTTTGTCACACATATTAACAATAGTTATTAATTGTTGTTAAATAGCTATGTTTGATTTTCTATTGTTTTTCTGAATAGATAATTTTAAAAACACATATTTCTCTCATGGGAAGGCGACTGTATCACGTAATGCATTGACAGTCTTCACGTATTCGATTGCGATTTTATTGATTGTGCCTAACGAAGCTTGACGTAGTGTCACACGAGCGGTGACATCTTCATAAAAATTTTTTTTTCTTCTATTTTATTTCGTATCTTAATATATAGGCAATGCATTAAGGGAGACGATTTTCACGCCTTTGAAAAACACATCTTCTTCAGGCAGATAGTTTTATTGTCGAAGATACAGAGAGAGAGAGAGAGAGAGAGAGAGAAGAAAAAAGATGCTCGTTTGCATTACCGAATCGCTGTGTAGTTTATCGACTTTCTATCTAAATACCCTCTAGCAACACATACATATATATATATACAGCAAGACTTGATTCAAAGGAAGTGTGGCAGATCTTTATCTATTTAACGATGCAAGTCAGTTCAAGAAAGTGCGACATTTTCAATTGACAAGTCTATGTAGTTTAGTTTTTATAGATAGATAAAGAAAAAAAAAAGAACGTTTGTTTATTATATAAAAATTTTCTCATTAAAATCTAAAGAAATATGACACACATTCAAGTAGTTATTGCCTGTCTATTCATTAGAAGATAATATGGTCATGTAAAGTGGCAGTACTTCTTTTTCTTTGTCTTGTAATATGAGTAAAGTGAATCTCATTTATCTTCATAAGAAAGAAAAAAAAGAAGAAGAAGAAGAAGAAGAAGAAGCAGAAATGATTATATTTATTTTAAAAGTCGGGTTCCGCTTTTTTGCACTTCAAATATTTATAATCAATCTCACCTGATGATATGACAAAAGAACCATATTTTTGTTGTTGTTATTCGTGTATATGAACAGTATTTGTGATATGGCCTTAAGACAAGCTTACAAATAGAAAATCGTTTTTTTTTTCCTTCATATCAATACGTTCATTGGTCAATACATTTAGTTTATGTTAATGATTTTTTTTCTCTCTCTCTCTCTCTCTCTCGTCGTTCTCCTATTGGAGGTATTCAATATTTATATACAGTTCATTATCATCAATGATGAGTTTTCTTTCTTTGAGGAAATACAGCTGTTGCAATTCTATATTTATGTTTGAAGTTCATCTTATAAATTTGATTTGATTTTTGATTTTTATTTTTTATTGACAAAATAATAATGCTGGGAAAAGATTATCAGTCATTGCCTCCTCCTGATCAATAAGCGTTCTGTTCACTTGTTGAGTAGGTCATTGAACTAGTTGTTGCTGGTGTATGTATATATATATATATATATATGCCGACTTTGCTCATACACTTTTCACATCATGCATTTAAAACTTCTGATCATTGTTCGTCGAGAATAAGTGGCACTCTCTTCTGATAGTGCGCTTACATTCAAAAAAAAATCTTACATTTGATATTGACAATAACATCTTAGCATTGAAATAGAGAGAGTCAGAATGAAGAATAAAGTCGAACCACTTAATGGCGACAATACTTTTCTAATCAATTCAATTGAAAAAAAAATGGCGTCGAATGAAAATGATTTATCATAAAATTTAAGTAAGAATGAGAGAAAAAAAATAAATTAAACTTAGAATTATATATATAATTGTTTGAAAGGAGAAGAGAAAAACAAAATCAATCATCTTTCACATAATGATGTGTGAAATGTAATCATGAACATGAATTGATAGTGCTGAATTTTATATTATTATTATTATTATTCAAGCCAAAACACCTTACACTATCTAAACAAGAGCTCGTGTCTAAAAGAAAAATAAATGATGAGAATAATGTTTTATAATAACAATCAATAGTGAATGGTTTTTTTAAGATATTTTTGTTCTTTAAATAATCATGTATATATATATATATATAGATGTTTTCTAAGCTATACTACATACTCACAGTTATTGGCGTCAGTCAAAAGCCTCCGGAAATGGATATATGCGTAGTAGAAACATTCATTGCAGGAAATGGATACAAAAAATAATAATAACAACGACATATTCTGCCAATTTAGCTCAAAACAATTCTTTATCCATGGAGGTAATTAGAGAGATAGAGAATCCTGCTGTGCGCGTGCCAGTTCACATTCTTTTACTTTTGATCTCGAAAGAAATGTGACATCATACATATGATTATGTCGTCGTTCAAGATGACTCGTTTTTTGCTTTTTAATCAAATCAAATTGGTCGTGTAAATATATGTATATAGATAGATATACATACATTGAGTTTTCTATCAACAAGTATCTTGCTGAGATATATCAATGCCGCGTATTCTTTTGATAGTACATATTCACACTGAGTTCTTTTTAAAATATTTTGACTCTTATGTTGTATTACAATAAAAAAAAATAGAAAAGAGTGAGTAAGAAGTCTCTTGATAGTCAATTGGCCAACTAAAACAAAATGACATCGAACACACATATATGAAGATGATATCAACAAAAAAAAAAAACAAGTATCTTACTGAAAAATCTAAATTGAAATGGACTCAGCTTGTTATATAGGATATCAGATCGAATAAAATTATCGACCTTGGGCTGTGATAGATAGCTAGAAATTCGTGTATATATGATAAGCATACATAAAAACAAGGACATTCATGATGTAATAAGGAAAAATAATCATATTGACCTCTAAAATAAGTCTGTCTGATAATTACAATAAATAAAAAGAATGAAACCTTGATAAAAGAAAAACAAAGAATATCATTTTGTAGATAGATAAAGAAAAAAAAGAACAAGTTAATATCAATCGAAATAATTTTTTTCCAGTTACGCTTTCGTTTTGACTCACCGAAAAAGTTGAATATCATTTATCTAATTTATTCTGAGCAAATTGAATACTTTACATAATTTATTTATTTATTTTTGTGATAACCATTTAATGATTTGTTATGATCTCAAATTGAATAATTGAAATAAATGAATAATTTTCATTTCTATTATTTGAACTCATAAGAAAAAAAAAACAATGAT